CCTCTTTTGGTCATCGATCATTTTTATCTCTGAGTTTTATTGCATCTAGTTCTTTTTTTAAAAAAGACTCCTATCTGATGACTGGACAGGGCAAAAAAAGCAATTGACAAAGTCAAACCTGTCATTATCCCGTTGGAAGCGGCACGCAGTGCAATGGGTACAAGGGCTAGTACCACGAAGTTTGCACGAATTTAACGCCTGCGGCTTTCAAACGGTTCAGTAAAAACGGTTGCGTATGGCTTTGTCAACAGTGCTGTTTGGATGCAAACAGCTTGCTAACCGAGGCCATCTTACTGGTAAATGCTGAGAAAAAGTGTTTTGGCAAGCGTGGTCGGGACACATCATACAGTACTCGCTCTGTCGACAAGCAACTTGGTGTGAAGTAAACTCAGGTGAGTTCGAGAACAGGTGACTCACACCGACCAACGGAGGAAAAACAGTCTTCAAAGAGGTCTGTCTTAACCGAAAACTCAAGAAAAGAAATTTCTTCTGTCCTCCGTCTTCTAAATGGTATCCAGCAGGAAACGCCTAAAAGCCGCAATCTCAAGGCTCGATCGGTTTCTAGCGGGAAACATAACCTGATCTCCCAAAATATAACTGCCTAATCTATAAGATCTTACGTAGAAGTCACATCATCGTCTACACCAACCCACTGTTTCGTAACAATCACCAATACATGATGGAGAACATGCTTAGGCTAGAGAAAGAACAATATATTTAATATGAATAAAAAATATAAGGCAACATTATGTAGAGACCGCGCCTGCATGGCCAAGCCATGCCATTCGACCATTCTCCATTCATTCAACTCATTGTTCCGGCCTTTTCCATCGTTAGGTATTTCTCCGCGTTAAATAGTGAATATCTATTTTTCGAGTAGTCTCGTGTTCAGCTTTGAGGATTGTGTGGTTATGGTCCAATGCCACTACACATCTTTCCGGTCTGAACGGCCGCAGATACACATCAAACAGTATGGCTATAAGCTCAGCAATTAAATCCGACAGTGTTTTCATAATCCTTGGAAGAATATCATCAGGTTCACTAGACTTATAAGGTTTAAGATGGTGAAGTAGTTTTAAGATAGTAACTTTCTCAATAACTGCAGAATCCATCGACAAGCCGACGCAGTCACAATTAACCATTGTTTCACATTGCTGATAGTAATTCCACCACTTCTCTAAGTATGCCTCTTACTATACAAGGATAACCGTTCCGGACTAGTTTCACAATTCCTAACCAATTGTTTTTCATACGACTGATGAATCTTTCTTATTGGCGCTTTACAAGAACTCCTAGTCCAACAGTAACTTGATTTATATTGTTCTAGAGCAGTAGATATGAATATATATTCCAATCCCTTTTCCTACGTCTAAGAAACTTTTTGACTTGTTTAGTTGTCCATGATGGACAGTCATTCGATCTACGTGGTACCAGGTGTGATATAAACGAGGACGTAACTGAACTAAAATTGCCTTTAAAAATAGACTATGCTTCTTCAACTGATGAGCTACTACCTGCTGACCAATCTGTCTTAGCAGCGCAGTCATGAATGGCTGATTTCTTAGCCCTCCATACGTTTTGGGCGAGGTAAAACCTGATCGTATGTCATGACACTAGCTCTAAATGTGAGTGACAAAATATCGTGATCGCTATTCACGAAAGGTTCAAGAATATTTAGAATGGCAACATCCTCAGTCGCACTGTAGTGAACAAGAATACGAGTGTGGACAACCGAATGTATTTGACACAAAATTACAGAGCATCTCAATAAAATCTGCGAACTGTATATTAATCGTTAATTTACGAAATGTCCACCAGTTGTCTCAAAATGCCTCAGACTTCATTGTTCTTACATTTTCATACAAATTGCATTCTACTTCCGCCCTTGCTTTCTTGATCTTCCCTCATCTTCTGCTGCCAGACATTACATTCCTGACTCGCATAATATACTACTTATATCAATATAAGTAGCACGCACCACAGCACGAGTAATTACCAAGTCTAACAAGGAAGAACCTTGTTTTGAAACAAAACATGGGGTTTTGTATACATGCTGTACTAATGCATGCTCTATTACTGTTATCAGGAACTTAATATAAAAATAAGGTAATTATAGATCCTACCGTGACAATCTTAGTTCTACTAATATCACGTTCATTAAGGTCTCTTTATATGACGCATCTCTTATTTGCACTCCATAGATGAATATGCTCTAGAATAAAGACATTAGCTAAGCAGATTGGGCCGCGATAAATGACATAGTTTAAATGGTTGTGGACAGAAAAGAAGGAGCTTTCGCTTAACGGGTTTGTGTATCTAGTAGCCATGGATCACCGATGCGTCCAGGCAAATCCCTAGGTAATTTAGCGCTAAAAGAGAGTAAAAATAGAATTGGTAGATTATAATGAGATACTGTCTTTAGTCCTTAAGAATGTCTCAAATTTTTCCTTAAAGGATTCGTGGGGACTCGCACAGCCGATAGCAAATTACATCATTTGAATACTAGTGAGGAGTAGAACGTGTGCCTGCAGTTCATTTTGCTGTGTTATATCTCCAGTTTCTGGGTGTTACCTATAAGTTTCGTGTTGCGACTAAGCATAAGTGGATGTTTAAAGAAATGCTTGGAAGTGTTTAGGATTATATAAGTTATTAGGTCACCACTAAGACGCCTGTAGTCGAACGGGTAGCGGTTCAGTAATTGAAGGCGCTATTCATAAGACTTGGATCTGAGTCCCTGAACTGATTTCGTGGCTCGCCGTTGAGTATGTTTTAGAGTGTCTTTATCAACTCGCCGAACTGACCAAAAATGCACTTCAACGTGCAGGGTTTGCTCGAAAGGTATTTTTGTCGCAGTTAGCGAAAGACTTCAAATCATAGGATACCAGCACTCCCAGCTCTTTTTCAACTTGGGATACCTCGAGAGGGGAGTTACATAAGTTGTATTCTCAGTCTGCAAAGCGTCTCCGATGGACTAATTTGCACTTTGAAGTGTTAAAGTTAAGTCCTTTGTTGTCTGCCCAACCATGAAGTGTAGTCAGATTCTCCCGAGGTGTCAGGTTATCCTCTTGGTTTCAGACCACACGTCAGAGTTGCACATCATCAGCGGAAAGTAATTAACCTGTTTGCTATGGGACATCGTTTATGTAAATTAAGAGATGAAGAGGTCCCAGTGCTGAACCCTGAGGGACCCAACTAGGACAACCCATAGCCCGAGAGAAAGTGAAGTTAACCCTGACTTTAAAATGTCGATTTTTTATATATGAGTTCATTAACTAAAAGTGATTTAACACCTAATCGTTTGAGATTACTAATAAAACCCATATGATTGAGCCTATCAAAAGCTTTTGAAAAGTCAAGATATATGACATCCATCTCCCCCCTGCGACCAAGAATGGTTATTCGCCTGTCTACCGTTGTCAGTAGGTTGGTTACACAAGAATAGCATCTTCTGAAACCATGTTGTTGTGGTGGAAAGAAGTCTATGGATGGTAAGTTTTCGTGTGGACCGTCGCATTCCAGGTACTCCATAAGTTTTGAGGGTAATGAGAGGAGTGCTAATGGGCGGTAGTTTGAAGGTTAGCTTCGCCAAAAGTCTTAGAAAACCGGTGTTGTCAGCCAGCTCCCAGTTTTCTGGTAATTTGCCTCGGCTTAACGAATGTGAGAACACCACACTAAGCGGTGTTGACAAGATTGAAGCTGTTTCACTCAATATAGTAGAATGGACCATATTCGGACCAGAAGTGCAGTTTCTGGTACACCAAGTCGGCGCTCAGGTCCACTTCTGAGAGTCCTGTTGAGTTGCAAGTGAATCTCTCTCGTATAAATGTGCACATGAAATATGAGAGTTGATTGTGTGAAATGGACGTTGCCGATAATGACTATGAATGTTTGGTGTGACTGCGTGTTTGCGATCAAATATCACAGCAGTAAAAAATTTACCGACATACAAGTGACGGAGCCTTTTTCCACTTGGGTTAACTAGAAACATGTCTGTTGAAATGTTGCATGCATCTTTATTTCAATAGTCGCTTGTCGGCTTCAAGTGTAGTTAGTAGTACAAGTAACATCAATAAGATCAAAGCTGTATTTCAACTAAGTACCCCGTCAGTATATTAAGATGCTGTATAAAATAAGGCATAAATATATATTAGCAGATAGGGGATATTAGTCATATATGAGAAGCAGATCATCCACAAGTAATCCGGATATATCCAACTTACACAATGAACCATTTGCAAATGTTATGTCGTTTTATAAGGAAGTCGTAAGATATATTTCCAGTTCGGATTTTCATTTAGTTGAAATTCAGAATGCTAATACAGAAATCATGTGTATTCTGATCAATACTCCACATAATACATACAGTGCAGTGATTTTGACGGCAAATGAGTAATGTGTACTCAAACGAAACGACCAAGAAAAGAGAAAGACATTCAGTACTTAGCTATTTGTAAGAGAGAACTGATGTGTATTGGAATTACGTCTGTGATGAATGGTACTGATATGATAAATGCCTGTATAAACCTTCACCGATATGACATTATTGAAGCTTAGCTCATTTAGTAAACCAATTTCATTTGTTCGTTATGGTGACAACGAAATATCCACATAATCAACATCAAACCAAGAATTCATCCACATTCATTGATTATATTGTTGTTTTCAATCCAAATTCAATTAGTCACACAGGAACTTATACCAAAAATGAGATATTAAAACCTGTCATTTATGACACTGTATTAACTGCTGCCATCATTTATACCTAGTATAAGTGTTTTGTACGTACAGGTACCAAATAACTATTAAATTATCACCAATGATCGTTCGTAAAGTCTAATCATACTCAGAAGCCTTTTCTAAAAATACAAATCGAATCGATCATAAATTAGTAATAAATGATTATTAGAGGGTGATTATTGGGAGTAGAAAAAATGTACATAAAATCAATGGGGGGGGGGTGAAATATTGTCAGTGTATGTCAAGTTAGTTAAAAATGTGCATTATAAAAACTTGATCATATATGGACCTTCCAATTCATAACCCAATTTTCGATAGTAGTTTCTAGTCCCCACACCGGATATAACTGCAATCTTCAATGAACCATGTTCATATTTAGCTATACGTTCTGCTTCTTCCATTAGTAAAGTTCCAAAACCCTAAAATAGAACCAGTTGGAGGGGCAGCACATTGATCAACATTGTCAAGGAAGTATAACGGAAAATTAAAGGAATAGAATCTTAAAATCGACTCATTAAGTGTTGATGGGGTTCAGCCATCTAGAGATTGTTGACCGAATGACGAATGTTTTGTTCACCAAACACAACAGCATTAGAAACTAATCCTATTGACTATCCACACTTTAAATTACTAAATAAGGAAGTGGATGAAAACGAACAATGCGCATGTCCAAATTAATACAGTATATCGACTCAGTATACAGAGGTAGATATGAGCTATATCACTACTAAAAACCAAAATAGACAAGCTCTTCAACCATTTCAGAACCTCAAAACTAGGTGAAAACAACTAAGCAACTTAATTGCATTTGTTAGTTGCAGTAGTTTAATCAGTTAACGGAGTAAATAACATACATTACATTGAATTTTCGATAAATTTACGTCAAACTACTACTTATTTCAGCATATTCAAATATATCTACTAACCACTCAAACAAACAATGAATAACTCAGTTTATTTTGAATTAGCGGTTGTATCCATTGCGAAAACCCGCGACAATTGTCAGTAGGGCATATTTGCAACTCTTAGGAAGCTAATGCCCGCTATGGGATTCAAACACAGGTGATAAGACTTCACTATTCCAGACGTTACAATTCATCTGTTGAGGGAGTGAATAACGTCATGTAGGTCTGAGCTATTAACAACTGACTAGACACGTAGCAGTGCTCAATGTTATGTTTGTCCTAGTCTTCAGCACTGATCGAATTCTCGTGATCAATTTATAAACCAAGGCGTTTGCAGAAATAACTATGTCTATATGTCATAGTGAAATAAATACTTGGCAAACAAAGTACTAACACATTACAATTGACACGAGATGATTCGATCACTGGAAGGCAACCTGACGGTCGCTAAACTAACTTCCCGAAATGTCGAGTGGTATAAAAAAGATGATAATTCGAACGAATCTGAAAAATCGGACAATCTTTCTATCAATCAAGATTATCTATCGTAAACTGAGCCAGAATAATAAAAGACGGGTGTGAAATGGAAACAGACAATAGACCTCAGTTTACATAGATCTCGAAATTTCGTTTAAAGAACGCAATCACACACATTCCGTCACCGCCCTACCATCCCTCAACCCAACGGGCAAACTCGGCGTTTTGTAAATACCTTCAATAGAGCTCTCATCAAGTCAAAAAAGGAGGGCACGACGTAGGAGGTCATTTAGAATTTCCTGAGAGCATACAAAATAACCCCGAATCCAGCCTAGACCAACGGTGTTTCCGTTGTTGAGTTAATGTTCGGAAGGAAGATTCGGACTTCATTTGATTGCATGTAATCACAAAGAAGAAGACGGGAGAATAGAATTGATCGTCAGTTTCCTGATGGGTTACCAGTGCACGTAAAAAACTTTCGACATTGGGGACCTTCATGGATAGATGGTGTCATTGTAAGAAAAGTTGGTGGCGTCATGTGTGAGATTGATGTACGAGGTAGACACATGACGCAACATGTAAACCATATCTATAACAGACGACTAAATTCAAACAAAGAACTTCCTAGCTCGAAACTGCAACTAGATTATTTATTTGATAGTTAGCTTGGAGTATGACAACCACATTACTTATGAGTAACTAGAAGTGATTTGCACAATTCTCTTCTTGTATTTCGTTGATTAATTGTTAACAAATCAGTTATCGATTGCTCAATATATTACTCACTCATCCGACCACATTGATTGGTCAGTTTTCTATCTGTCTGCACTAATACTGCCGTTCTTGCTGAGTTAAAAACGACGAATGTGAGTTTTAATCAGGTGGACGACTGTTTTTTGCAGAACAATATATCCAAGGAGAAGCCATGACAGTTTGTGACTTACCGAATCCAGATGCTCAACTTCGGTGGACTTGACAAAGTATTTACGAGAAATTCCTAACTTTAGAATGCTATTATTATTGTTATTACTAGTGTTATTAATACACAGAAAAGCATTTCTATTCCGATATATAATTAAATTACACTTAAACTTACTTGATGTTGAAACTTTGTGGGATCCCTAGCAGCCACTGGAACAGCACTACCATATACATGTAATTCACGTACAATGGAACAACGAGGATCTTTATTACCTTGAACATCGTCATCATCATCACCACTATTAATACGTTTTGTAGCGATTAATTCTGGTCTAAATGTTTGCAGTGAACACTTTCTTAAACGTAATAAACCGATCAATATGTCTTGATATGGATCCTCATAGGCTAAAAATGTCTCCCAACCACCATTTGCAACATAATCTCTACGAACGAGTTCAACCTGTATTGAATGAATGGAAGTACGTTCCGAAGGGAAAAAAGCAGAAGAAACATGCTGAAGAACTTGAAGATGAACAGAACTAAACAACAAACAAACAAACAACCCAAGGCATTCATTGTAATCATTTAACGGAATATACTCATTCAGACATAAAATACGAAACATTAGTTCAGTGACCAGTGTCATGTTCGTCCAGTTGACTTTCAAAGCTATAGAACCATACATATGTAATCAGTTGAGTAAAATACATCACAGTATCTGGTACAAACTTAGGAGCAACACTAGTACATCGGTCAAAATTGCTTGCATTTCGAACCAAAATATAGTTAGGAAAATAATGAAAATTGTGAGAATAAAGTTTGACAAGAATAAATAAATCGGACCAATGATTAGTGTAAAACTGTATAAATTTTTTTACATCTAACTAAAGAATGACTGAAATTATCCTCAACGTTTTCAATCTTTAATAAAGGTATTATAAACAGTAGATCCAACTGTTATATCCGAGCGAAGGACTAAATCACGAGTAACTCCTGAGACATATTAATTGACTAATATTATCTATTCTTATGGTATGACTATTCAATAATTAGATTATGTATATTTATATTCCTCTTATTATAAGCTTCATTTTGACATATAATTTATTATTGTACGATTTACTATTCTTAAGCTACGTTCAGTTTATTGACTACTGCCTCCCATGTTCAGTCACATTTGGTCAAATCTTGTACAAATGTTATTTTCTATTTTATAGTGCGTTGTGGTCTGTCTGGTTGATATATAAACCGAGTATGTTTGAAATAAATGATTCACATATTGGGAGCTGGTATTGGTTTTCTGGACTCAAGTGGACGGCCTAGGCAGACATAGGACCAAATAAGACGCTAGGCTGCTTATACCGGTCGAACGTCGTTGGTTTTGGCACAGTGCGAAGATTGTATAAGTCGTATTTTGATTGGTGGATAAATCACATGATAAAAATCCGGACATAAAGTCATAAAACCAACTACTTCTCCGTTCATTCAGTGAGTAAATCTCAAATATCAGTATGCAATGTTTATCAAAGATTTCATTTTAAGTTTACCTGCTAAAAGCAAATTAGTTTAGTTTATTGAAGCATTTAAGATGAAAAAAGCAAATACGATAGCAGTTGGAGCCTGAAACAGGATTTCTACTATGTAACATTCAACCAAAAAATCAATGAGAAAATGATAGGAAGTGTTGAAGATAATGCACTTATTGAACAATGAAAACATATTGGATAACCGCAGACTAAATAAAAAATAAGGAATGAATATATTTAAGTCACTGCGACTGATTGTCAACAACCTAATCTAAATTTGCCAACAGTTGATTACAATTATAACGCTAGCCTGAGGCATACATTCTGGATTTCTGTAAAAAGGCTCTGAACAATAGCTAATGACCTTACGCAATGACCCGATATATTTCAGTCTGGCTACCAAACTACTTCGAATACTGGCCACCACTAAAGGGTAGTCAGTGACTGTACATGTTTAACACGTTGTCCAGTCACTTCGTTCGGTAAATGCCCAAACGCTCATTAACCAATTCGCCCACCCTAACAAGTAAACTACACCAAACCTCACCATTACTCAATTATTTAATCACATATGATTGATTAGAGAGTTGAGGACAGGAGTGCGTATAGAGATGTAATTTACATAACAAAAATGTACTAAAATAAGGTTTACCTACAAGCAAACAGAGAATGAATAAAATGACAAGGAATAATATGGTAGTTAAAATCTAAAATAATAATTTTGTAAATCATCTGGTGCCGTTTTCATTCCATTCCGGAAATTTACTATGCTGTAACTTTTTAACTTTGTGTTCTTCCATATTCAATTGGTACTTATGGTGTGTTTTGTCGGTTTCTTCTTATCACACTCTTTCCTTTCTATATTTAGCAATGGTAAGTAAATCTATTATTGTACCATGTGTAACCGTAATTCAACAATTAAATGGTATTGGTTCAAACTCCTAATTACAGGTGTTAAGGCTTTGAACGCCGCGCTCCAATCAAGCAGTCCTTACTTACAAAGTGTTGTATAAAATCGAGTACATAAGAACATTTGCTTGATACCACCATGAATATTATCCAGATAATAAGATACTAAATTGACCGCAACTATTATATGAGAGGGTGTTCAAACTATCTGAAAGAACTGTGTAAAAACAGTGACCAACTGAATAATAACTTCTGATATCTATGTATCATTGTATATCATCAAATCACAAGTGTTCTACACAATAGCAACGACAGAAGACTGAATTGCAATATAAAGAGCAGAAAATAGAAATAGAAATCTGGTAGAAACGTTGGTTTTATTTTTTAGAACTCACATACCTGATATGGTTTTACACGTGAATGTATTTCTTGTATGCCGACTTCACGTGTTCGAACATCACGACAGCTAGCACCTAGTTCTTCCATTCGAGCTAATACAAGTTCACGTAAATTACCATGTTCCACACCACTAGTTACTAATGGCATAGGAATATCTCTAAAAGTTATTGCGAAAAAAATAAACCGCGTTATCAGGAATGCAGGATCCTAATGCAGTAAAAATCGATGCACTGAATCAAATCATATCATATCTGACCGTAACTGCTATCTTGGCGTGGTAGTCTGACTTGCACACCGTGATGAATCAGTCGAGCTATATTGTGGCTAGAGCACTTGTTACATTCTTTCCTATCATACTAGACAGTTCAGTTGCGGAGCGACAAAACTAAAGGGAAAAAGCTGAAGTTCCGAGGGCGAAGTCGTACTGACGACTATACAAGATTGTGACGACAGGAGTGTTCCACTCAGATAACCAAAACTGTGGGGTTGTTGCCTTTTCATAACGGAAAGAGAGGGTTAGGGAACATCAACTCTAAAAGTAAACCACCCCACTTCGATTCATGGATTCCCATCACTGGCGATTAGCAATCCTTCCGGGACAATTATAGTCCAATACACTCACTAAGCGTCCTTAATTAGGATACGCCAAGTTTCACAAGCAGAGAGCAGAAGTGCTCCCGCAGATGCATTGTAAATCTAACCTTTTATGTATTGACTAAATTTATGAAGGCGCCAACGATGGCTTAGATTAGTATAAGACATATTGACATTCTCTGTAGACAGGTTGATTTCATCTGACAAGCTGAAACACCATACACAAAACTACCCAGGTATACGAACTTTTCGATTATTTCTAACAGCTCACCACAAAGAGTGAATGTCGAGACAGAATCCTGCCAATCTTGTAAAATCGCTTTGCGTTTATAATGAACAATTCAGGAGTAAATCAACGTAAACGTTACGTTCCAGATATCTAAACTGAATCACATACTTGGAATCACGCACAAACCTAATTTGGACAGAAGGTCGTTTCGTCCTAGTATGGGGCTCCTCAGAAGTGTGTATCTATAACCACGTCGTGGATGAAACCGAAGACTACAGGTCTTGTGACGAGTGCTTAACCTTTAGATCACAGAGTCGGCATCCAGTGATTTACATTTATAGCTTTAATCAACTCGAGATATTGTGAAAATATCTCACAATGTCAATGGCAAGTATCTAACAACCGAGTTGGTTGGACTCAACTAGTTTAAACTTAAATAGATTAAACCTGTTATTTAAAAATGGGTCGACATTTTATTGGTCACTTGAGTGTGAATTCCATATAAAACAGGAAAACAAAATTGTTAAATTATGCCATTACGAAGGACTTGTGAACACATTCATTTATACCTTGATGATGACTGACGGAGATTAGAAGAAAGCTGGAAAGTAAATTTTGTCCAATTTTAAACTAACCACATGCAAATGTGCACCGATCGAAAGTTGAAATCAATATTATCATAGTCATTTGTAAGGGTTTGTATTTTTTCACTATTGGCGTTAAAGACTGCAAATAATTAGTCTCTATTGATGTATGTGCATCCGAAATGGATTGTCTCAATATTGTTAGTTAATCACAAGTTTCTTATGAAGTTGGATAAAAAGTAACAGTGAAATCGAGGGTGTACCTTTTTTCCCATTTATGACTCGTCAAATGGGTTCGCTCGTATCTCAATGATACTCGAACTTAGTAGACTTCGCTTTAAATCCCGACCCCTTATCAATTGAGCTATTGAGTTCAGATAATCACCGACATGTTCAAACGGTAAGAATAATATTTGTAACGATCCGTATTTTCCCATAGTTAAAAATTCAGTACAATTCAATAATGTAATAAAACTTGTAACTGTAGTCTCAGTGTGAATATCAATACTGGAACGTACGTGTATTCAAATATCCGACAAGTCCTAAATAGGACGAAACGAGCATTTAGGATTTCACTAAAAGCTGCTATCCAACCTTAATTTTAAAAAAGTTATACTAGTTTTACCCATGGAACAAATAAATGATTGAAATTTCATCAATACATATATATGATCTACCTTTGAATACGATAAATTCTAGTCCATGGTGGGACTAACGCTAATATTCGAGCAATCAAATCAATCAGCATACCGGGTGGATAACTTTTATATCGACCAGTACGCCATAATTCATATAAACCTGTACCACGTATAACAAGTGTTGGATAAATTTTTAATCCATCTGAACGAAAAGCTGGATTTTCAAAATATTCAGCAAATTGTGCTAAATCACGTTCCCAGCCAACATTTGGTAAATCAGGCATCATATGTGAAACAACTTTAAATCCAGCATCTTTAGATAAATGAAATGATTCACAAACAGCTTTAACAGTATGACCTCTAGTATATAAAACAAAAAGAAAGGAATTCTACATATAGTTTTTTGTTGTTGTTGATTAGATAACAACTTCAACGGGGGAATTTCGTGAAAAGAAATCTGAAAAACATTCTTAGAATTATAAATTGAAAGTAGTTGAAAAGTTACCGACTTAAAAGACAAATAATCATTGCCATTATCATAAGGTTTGACAAACAAAACAAACTTCGAAAGCCCCTTTATTCCCCCCCCCCTCATGAAATGAATAACCAATGAGTAAGTGGTGTAAATTTGGTGGTTAAATTAAGTTTGTTTTGTTTGTTTGTTTTTAAAAAAGAAAAATTTCGCTCCAAATTTATTTGTAAATAACGCACGAAATAATTGTGAGAAGTTTTTCTTTTAAAAATTGTAATCTATTGACTAAAAGGACAAATTCCCAATTTGATCGATATAATTTAGTCACTGGATAGAACTGGAAAGGAAGGCCCAGGACAGAGTGGGTTGGAGAATGCTGGTCGGTGGCCTATGCTCCATTAGGAGTAACAGGAGTAAGTAAGTAAGTAATTCAGTCATTAAACAAGCCAGACAATCTATGACATTGATCATAAACACATGAGTTATAACCATAATATGGGTAGGATTCTAATAAAATGCATAGTTTTAAGAAATTTAAATTATCTCAGTTGTGAAAAAATTTATTTAATTCAGTCAAGTGCAGCAATTGATGACAGTGGCAATGTAGTTAAATGAATAATTGTTACAAATGTGTTGACACAAAAGTACAATTATGAAACCTTAATTAAGAGTTTCTGTGGCACTTACTTACTTACTTACTTACGCCTGTTACTCCCAATGGAGCATAAGCCGCTGACCAGCATTCTCCAACCCACTCTGTCCTGAGCCTTCTTTTCTGTGGCACACTTACCTCAAATTAGTTCATTTATTTATTAATATTTAAAAACACATACACATTGGCACAAGGAAGCATCAAACAGATATGCGCCACATAAATCACCCGATTTGTGTAAGGGCTGGAATACTGTCCATGTGGCCAAACCGAAGCAGGTGGTGCTCTTAGGGGGCCACACCCGGAACCTTTGACCTAAAGGTCTAATACGCAAAGCAGCACAGGAACTTTAGGAAATGCAGTTCAATGGTAGCCGGTGACAAACAATAGGTTCATAAGCCATTTGTCCCCTCAAGATCCTGGAGCCCATGTGCACCATTGGTTTGGAATCAGGGTTTTCCAACTCCTCTAAGTGGATCCTCCATATCCACCAACCCGGTTAAAGCGCTGGACATTAGCTTTTCATCCCCCTCCCCCAACCTCGTAAGCAACACTCTCTCCGCGAAAATGCAGTAAGTTGGACTTCCCTGGTAGTGGCTACAATTAGTTTAACTAACTACATATATAACCGATTGGCATAGTTGTGTAAAATAAAGGAAAATCATTTGTCGAAAGAGTTTACAACGAAAATTATTATTTTTGAAAAAAGCAAGTTGAGTATTTTTATCTTCATAGACAAATTAAAATCCTCACCTATTTGTATCTCTGGCAACATCTTCATAAACACTTTGAACACCAATCTCTAACCGTGTACAACCATAACGTAACATTTCACTAAAATGAAATAAATTATCCTACGGATGAATACTGGTTTATAACTTACCTTAAATGTTTTTTTAAACAATAATCTGGACGTGTTTCAATGGTGATTCCAACACATTTTGTTCTACTTCGTTCAGAATAACTAATAGAAAAAAATATAGTGATCATTTATTAAATGAGATTAATCTAAAGTATGAATAATTGTTAAATGAAAGTTTTCTTATTAATACTAAAAAGTACCTGTTGGCTTTAATTTAATTCTCTTCAACCGGTTAATTCCAGGAAAGATTGATTGCTTACTAGACTATAAGTTATACATTGTTTGTGTGCTAGACAAAGTAGACAGGAATGGTTTGGAACTCACGCAACCAACCAGCGGTTCAGATTGGAATGCTTTAACCACTAAGAGACTGTTTTACTAAGATTTCACAGTACTTCAAAAATCCGTGTCGATGATAATACAGTAAGCTTATAATGCTTAGCTTTCTTTTAGATTATGTTATAGTTAAACAAATGTAATAAATTAGATAACCTAAATGGAGTTATTTATTTAGATAATGAAATGAACAAATAATTAGAATTTAAACAAAATATGATTGGAATGGGGTTCCCATAGGGCTTTGAAAAAGCATGCCATATAGTGAATAGGGAGCTGGAGGTATGAACTCGTAAGAAACCTCTCCCCTTATACAACTCAAGTTCAATGGAAATCTAGATACTGATATCCTACACGATAGACTGAACAGAGAGATTAAAATGGTTTTTTGTACACTTGATTTTTGTTTGTCATTTTACGATCTTCAAAGCACTGCTCACGTTTTGTAGAGCAACTAAGTGAGTAATGCTGAGATTAGGGACAGTGTACTAAGAGACTGCTTTGATTGTGAATTTTCATGCACTGAGTTGGTAGAAACAAGTGTTATGTATACCCACACGTCAGCTTTCTTAATGGGTGACGTTGGCTGGTGTAGGAGTAAGTCGGAAAAAGAACAAGGGTGGTCAAACCACAATGAACCATAAGTTTATGAAGTATTTATTTATTTTAACACATAGATATTGGTACAAGGAGGCACTAAATACATATGCGCCACACAGATCTCATTTGATATGTGTGAGGGCTGTGATACTGCCCGGGTGCCCAAACCGAATCATGTGTTTTTCTTAGGGGCCCACACCCAAAGTCTTCGACTTGAAGGTCTGATCCACAAGACAGTGGAGTAACGTAAGGAGATGCAGCCCCATAGTAGCCGATGACCAACTATTGGTTCATACGCCATTTGTTCCTTCAGGATACTGGAGCTCATGTGCACCATTAGTTTGGAATCAGGGTTTTCCAACTCCCCTAAGTGGAATCTCCATGTCCACCAAACCGGTTAAAGCGCCGGGCATTCCCTTTTTATCCTCTCACTTCGTAAACAACACCCCCGCCACAAGAAGGCAGTGAGTAGGACTTCCCTGGTAGAGGCTATATACGCGTGGCCATGTGAGAGCATTTCGAGAGGTAGAGCGGACTCTTCCCACCAGGGCATTTGGGGGCGTTTATGAAGTCAGTGGTTGCAGGTTTAAGTCACATTAGTAGATGCAAACGATCTGGATGAGGTCTTCATATTTGTTGTAACCAATGGTTGGGAACATTAGTTGGCATGGTTTATAACCAATTACATCCCTGTAGATGCATTTACCAATTATCATCCTCTAGATATTAAGTCCCAGCGTTTCTTTATATACAAATTTTTATTGTTATATCAAATTGTATTCTTAATGTTTAATCTTTCTTATTATGATTGTTCTCACATTGCTTCGACTATGTTTCTATTCTTCTTATTAATTTCCTTTTAATCATATTAATGTGGTTTAAGAACTTGGACTAATGGAAATTCGCGCCTGGCTCTACGTTGATTATGAGTGACTGAATGGATGTCCAGATAAAAGAATAGATTACCCGGTTTCTACACTTAGATTGTTAATTACTAATTTAGCTACTCATTCTCGTTTCTCGACGAGGGTTGCTATCTTGTCCGAAGTTATAGTAATTTGATTCAAAAACTATATCCTTCGTATTCAAAAGAAGTTTGAAATATGCCGTTTCGCTTTTTCGATCAGGGAACCGTAATAGATGATCGTATTGATTTTTTTCTCCTTTTGTTTGTAATATAACGGGAGAATAAAAATATTTTCTGTTTGTCACGTTTTACTACCATTATAAGATCGGTGACCGAAATTTATGGTGCCACCTGCGTAACTATTCTTCCTCAATTGTATGTTTAAGATCATTAATTGCACAGTATTACATGCTTTCAGTGATCAAGTTCATTTAACTCAGGTTTCAAACTACTTATGTTGAAATCTTGGTTTTCATTATCACTCCGTTTTTATGATTATTAGCATAAGTTACACAATCGTGACTTTCAATACTTAATAACATTAATGCAAAGTATGTGAAAAATTATGTAGTTATGTATTTGGACTTAAACCACGCTTTTAGTAGGGAGACTAGTAACCAACTCAGTCCCCTTAACCGAAGAAAGTAGAATGGAGTTCAGACAAAATGGTGGTGTGTTCAAGAATATCAATACCTGATCAACAGAAACAAGTAGTTAAGAAAAATAAACAATATATTTGTAATATCCCAATGAGTAGAAAAATCAAATTTTCTGATGTTTCGCGACTTAGTGTAAGCCACTTCTTCAGAGAAAAAATGATCAAGTCGAAATCAATCCAAGTTTAAAGAGTACAACGGAACAACAAGAATATCACGTTATGGTTATCTATTCTCTGAAGAAGTGGCTTACACTAGGTCACGAAACGTCAGAAAATCTGATTTTCCTACTCATCGGGATATTACAAATATATTGTTTATTTATAACAATCTACCCAATGCTCAATTTATTCGGAATTATCAAGTCAAACCTTGGTAATGATACCTACAAATCGTTATAATGTTGTGTAGTTTCATAACAAGAAATTTAAAAACAAAGTTCACGTAATGTATGTATATGAGGAAATTGATCACATCTAATACTGAGGTTAATACTATCATTAAGTATCCAAACCTTGATGGATAAAAATACATTTTGACTCGAGTTGTTATGAACAAAGATTAAATTCCTAAACCACACTTAAACAAAATACTTAGTTCCCTCTCAGTAGTATATAATAGTATATATAGTTCTATATTCGTTATTTAAACTATCATCTAGGTACGAAAATCATATGCTTCCAAAGAATTGCATTAGATTTTAGGAAGAATTTATGGCTTAAGTTGTTAAACAACTTTTTAGAATAATCCCCACAATATTACAAGTTATCGTACTCTCAACTAAATGATAATTGAAGTTGTTAAACATTGGTCACTGGTAATAAATATATATTTTGTTATATCCCAATAAGTAGAAAAACTATATTTAAAACTGTTAGTGTAATTCGGTTATTTATTTACTATGAAGAAGTGGCTTGCATTGTCACGAAACGTTGGGAATACGGTTTTTCTACTTATTTGGATATAACAAGAAATACATTTATTATTAACTTTCTACCCAATGCCCAATTTATTTGAAACCATCAAGTCCAACCTTGGGATTCATACCTACACTGATCTAAACTTCCCGATTCAGAGGGAATCTCTAATCATGGAACAAAGCGGATTATTCACTTAAATCCATATAGTTGATAACGTAAATTTTATAAAAATAGTGTCAGGGTATGTCAGTCAGTCAGTCAGTCAGTAACAACGTAGAACTTCGTACGTACGTACATCAGTTCGAGTTGCCACACCACATTAGCACAGAGATGCACTTGTCGATTCAAATCCCGTAGTGGTAGAGGTAATAAGAGTATAAGCAGTAATCGGGAAGATTAGGGTTTGGAGATGTTATTTAAAGAGTATAATCCAGTGAAATAAATTTGGAAAGAGGAAAAAAGGGTATGTGAGTTATACCTACATAACAGCCTCGTCAACGTTTTGGCTTGTATGTCCAGATAGTGCATCGTGTAAGCTTCTAATGAAATAATCCCGATAGTCTTCAGAAAGACACATAAACGTTCCCCCCATAACAATAAATTCGACCTTATCACATGTATGTCCGAGTTGTTGAAGCTAGAATTATAAATGAAATGTGTAAACGTGATCACGAAAAATTACTTGTTCAATTCGATGACGTGTTTGAATAAAGGGATTGTAACGAGCTCGAATAGCACGCATGGAAGTGGGCTAATAATAACATTGGTGAGTTATGTGGTCTAAGCTACGAAATTACCTCATATCCAGTATAAGATTGTGTGGAGTATTCAAAATCAGAATCTGGTCCACCTGGACAATAGCTGTAGATAAGAGGATAAAATGTAAAGAAATTTCAAGCACCTACACACAAACATTCCCGGTCACAGCTATATGAGGACATCGATGAGGTTTACACATAACTGCTATAACTACAATCTACAACAAAATGATTATAGGAATAGGCAATTTAATAAAATATATACACTTAATTACCCCACTAGCTGATCTAACTGGTTTCGCTTTCAGATGTGGCAACAGCACCTAGACAATGTATTTGGCAAACATTCATTACCAACGAAAATTAACTTACATGTCTATGTTCTGTTGGTACAGCTGCGATTAAATCAACCAGACGTGGTTGTGAGGCTAAGCCATATTTACTAGATATTGCTGACTTCAGTCTATTCAAATTAAGAACAAATTATCACTAACAAGACTTAAACAGTTACTTACTTATTTAAATCAACATCACGTTTCTCTTCAATAGATTTTAAAAGGTGTGAGATTATTTCACTCACGGTTAAGATCATGAGTTCCTCTTTGGTGGCATTTGGTACTTTGGGACAAACATTACAAAAGCTATAAAAATTACTTTTACGAGCTTTAGCCATATTATTTAATGAGAACTCAGGAAACTACGGTTCAGCCTTTTGATTCTTCGTTAAACACTTATCATCTGGGTACAAAAAAGAAAGTGGGACTCAGTATAAGGTCAACTTTACGTTGGAAGTAAATAAAAATATAGTTAACTTTGAATAAGACAAATATGGTAAACACCACTAAGTTTATCAAGTCTATACAGAAGTAGTCACAACGAACATGGGAACTGAATCAAAACTTAGATGTTAACTATAAACAGAATCCGAGTATGTTAGTGTCAGGATGAATCAAGAATATGACTCCGTAAATTATTTATATTTTTAATTGAAGTGGTTAGTTCATTGATGTTGTAAATTATATACATAAACTAAATTAATAATTAATTGCAACTACTGTTAGCTAAATGTATTCAGATTTGATTACTAACCAGTTGAGTAAATCATACGATCTATCCATAACATTGTATTTTTTATATAATTTTCAGAATTAGTGGTGAATCTGAGGTTGATGTATCATAAACTCTCCATTCGCACTCTTACCCTTCTACACCGAGGTAGGTCAGTTTTGTTTATTTGAACAGGGCAAGTAACCCGTTGTGTACATAGGATATAACAAATAGCCATGCTACTTTCTTATCACAGGACAATAGAGAAAATGCAATAATTTGAAGCATGACAATCAAGGAAATCTAAAAACTCATAGTGCAGTGGAAACTGATGGAAATATATGTCATATAAGACTATTAGTCCAAAAGTCGATCTTGAGGTTTGACCTCAATCAGGAATTCAGAGTGAAGGTCGATCACTGACACAACAGCATCGTTTAATTAATATCAAATCAGCCGAACAAAACAGTGGTTCAAAATCTTCTGCTTACCTCAGGAATATGACGACAATTAAGGATATCAAGTAAGTCAATTTTATCTTGTTAAAAGTCTACACTGATTTCAATTTTTATAAAGTAGTCCATTCGTTTGTAAAAGTGTTACGTGAATAGTTGCTGGTTTTTGATACCGATCACAATCATCTAAATTTACTCAATGACTCTGATGGCAACTATTTTAGATGAATGTGGACAACCAAACTGCTTGTTCCCCGTTGAGGAAGGAATGCAGTGCGGCATTGAATTAGTTGTAGTATATCACAGTCCAGAATGTGTAGCAGATGATTTTCTCCTAAGTAAACTTAAGTCCTGGTGTAAAAAGGGTAAAAGCCTTGTAGTAGGCGACTTTAATGCACCGTATATAAACTGGGTTAACTTAGAAGTACGGTCATCGATAACGTCGTTCGATTGCAAACTGTTAGAAACTTCGATTGGGTTAGGTTTATTCTAACATATTAGAAAACCCACAAGGCATGACTTAAGAAATTCTTCTTCTCTTTTAGATTAAGTCTTCGCATACGGTGATGACGTTGGTCAAACAACTGTCTTCCCACCACTAGGGAGAAGTGAACATGCAGTCGTCTTATTCAAATTCATGGCTGAGATGGCCTGTCAAACAGTTGCGCCGGCCCGTCCTAATATATGGACGGCAGATATGGAGGCAATCAACTCCGCAGCGTCGGCTGAAAACTGAGAAATTGACTCAAGGGCATCAGTACAAGAGACATGGACTCTTTTCAGGCAGTTATACAATCGGCTAACTTAACCATACATACCCTGGACAGTTCCAACGAAGAAGGGGCACGGCCATCCCTGGATAAACCGGGATATTCGACGTTTACCAAGACAAAAGAAGAAATGTTGGGATGTTGCCATCCACCTTGGCACAGCAGGTACGATGGAACGCTACAGATCGATAAGAAACAAGTGTATAACAAAAATTCGTGAAGCTCAGAGAAAATATGAAATGCAGTTGGCACATTCTGCACTCAAGCAGCCCAAGAGAGTATTCTCGTACATAAACTACAGTACAAGGATGCATCATTGGATTCCCAACCTAATTAAAGAAGGGAGTGAATCTGAAATGATAGAGGAAGATCAGGAAAAAGCAGAGGCTATGGCTGACTATTTTGGGACAGTTTTCACTCAGGAACCTCCTCTGGACAAAGAACCAGACCAAAATAAAGAGTCAGCAAACCACCTGCCCACCGTGGACTTCGACCAAGACGATGTGCTTAAAGCTCTTAGCACCTTAAACATGGAAAAGTCAACAGGACCAGATGAACTACACCCCAAAGTCTTGAGACATATTGCCCAATATATCGCGGCCACACTGACTGTGATATTTAATATGTCACTTGGCCAAGGTGTGTTACCTATGGACTGGAAGGACGCAATCGTCACTCCCATACATAAAACAGGACCAAGACAAGTTCCGTCGAACCAAAGACCTGTAAGCCTCACCAGTGTTGTAGTTAAAATATTGGAAAGAATAGTCAAACGGACAATAATGGCATTTATGGAAACCAATAACTTGCTAAACATAGAACAACATGGTTTTAGAAAGGGTCTGTCTTGTACAACGAACCTCCTTATAGCAAAGGGGTTTCGGATAAAGGCGCTAGACAACGGAAACTCAGTGGATGTTGTCTACATAGACTTCAGTAAGGCTTTTGACAAGGTGCCAACTAATAGACTGCCACTGAAGTTGGAAAACCTTGGTATTGTCGGACCTCTTTTAAAATGAATAAAGGATTTCCTAGTAGGTCGTAGACAGAAAGTAAGAATAAATTCCAAGTGCTCCATTTGGAGACCAGTACTTAGTGGAGTACCTCAAGGTTCCGTCCCAGGTCTTTTACTTTTTATAATGTATGTTAATGATCTTCCAAGTATAGTACAGTCTCCAATGTTATTATACGCTGATGATGTAAAGATCTGGCGAGTAATAACTGGAGACAGACGCATGTGCTCTTCAGGTAGACTTAAATAATATGATGAACTGGTCTAAAGAGTGACTGATGCCTATCGACGAGGCAGTTTGTCTACATGTACTTTGGGGATTCAAAGGTTAATGGGTACAAGATAGGGGAAGTGCCATTACCTGTGGTCCGGTCACATGAGGATCTAGGGGTGACAGTGAGTCATGATCCTAAGACGACGGCGCATTGACTGGAGGTCGCAGCTAAGGGGTTTCGAACCCTTTGGGCTTTAAAACAGACATTCACTAAGTTAGATACTACCATGTTCACCACAATATACACATCCTTAGTGAGAACTAAGCTTGATAACTGCGTTCAGGCTGCAAGTCCTTGTTTAAAAGGTGACTCGGATATCCTAGAAAAAGTACAGAGGGCAGCTGCCCGCGCAATTCCAGAACTCTGGGGTTTACCATACAAAGAGCGGCTTGAAAAGCTAGACCTCTTTACTCTGTCCTATCGCAGATTAAGGGGAGATCTAATTCTGATGTACAGAATACTGAGAAATGATTTTGGACCCAACTTATTCTCTCCTTTTCTTCCCACTAGATCAGAACATCTCAGAGGACAAAGCAGGCAAGTAGAAAAGCCAAGAACGAACAAAATACCCGTGGCATACAGGTTTTCAAATCGTCATCAATACTTGGAACCTGCTGCCCGAAGCAGTGGTGTCCGCACCTTCGATTGACTCCTTCATGAGAAAACTGGACATTCACAGAAGCATACTAGAAAAGGAATAACATAGGCCGCAGGCCTTCTGTCCTTACTGCACAAATTTGAATCTGAATGATGCATCCAAACACCTGTGCAGTGCTTTAATAAGTCGAGCTTAGTTAAAATACGACAACTTTCGATATACTATACGATCGCCCGCCGATCCCAAATTTTGTCTACACACTTTATCAGGTATGGAGAAAGGGTGACCACTAGTTCCTTAAGATGCGACGGGAGAACGTAAACATTTTCCCACGTTAAAGCCTTATCCTATAAATTGGCTGAAGATGAGAGAAATATGCATACCGGGAAAGTTTCCAGACGATTTACCACAGTATTTTAGTCTGTTCGACGAGAATGATGTTTGCAAAGTACTCCGAGAGTAGTTGTCGTTTTAAAAATAACTTCTAGATCTCGACGTTTTTCAGATGTCACCGTATGACATTACGCCCTATTTCGGGATTTGGAACATTTAACTTATACAACTACTGCTGGTACTCAAAGAAATAACCTACATCAATGTTGGATATTAGTACTTAAGTATGAGTAAATTCAGCGAAATTTTAAAATACACGAACTGAAAGTTATAGACATAGTCGGAAGATAACGTTGAGTAAGCCTATTTGTTTTTAACTACACTTAAATCTTAGGTGGAAAAAAACCTAGTAAAACGCAATACAATACCATCCACGACAAAATGTAGCGTACGTTTTAAAAGATTGTCTAATGCCAATCAACAATTTAAAATGGTCTAGATGATATTTATAAATTAGTCAACCCGAGTATCTTACACATCTAAGATAGGTGAATTATGCATTCTTCAAGCTGGAAACAAAGTTGAATATAAACGACAGTCAAGAAGCAAACGCTTTCGTCAATTATATTATGATAGTATGTCATCATTTAATAGTTGAATTCATGAGTCAAATGGTTCAAATGGTTCAAATGGTTGTGGACGGAATAGAAGAAGCTTTCGCTTAACAGGCTTCCGTGTCTAGTAGCAGGGGATCACCAAATCCTCCAGGCAGGAACCTAGGTATGTTAACAATAAAAGAGGAAAAGAAATTGGTAAATCATAGTGTGATGCTGTCCTTGGTCCTTAAGAATAGGTCAAGTTGCCTCTTGAAGGACTCCTGAGAAGTCGCTTGGACTAGCTCGGCCGGCAGCGAGTTCCAGCTTTTGACAACTCTTAAGGAGTAGAAGTTGTGTCTACATTCCGTCTTGCTATGTTGTGTTTCCAGTTTCTGGGTGTTACCCCTTAGGTTATTATTCGAACTAAGCTTAAGTAGGTGTTTAAGAGGATGTCCAGAAGTGTTAAGAATACTATAAGCCATTAATAAATCACCTCTAAGACGCCTGTATTCTAGTGGGTAAAGGTCTAGTGAACGGAGGCGTTCTTCGTAAGGCTTAGATTTGAGTCCTCGAACTGATTTCGTGGC